TCTTATTTTCTTATTAAAAAAACATCATTTCGTTTTTTAATATTATCTCGCCTATTATTAGAGATGGACCCAACAAACCCTATATGACTATGCTTGACAAGGAACGTTCTATCCAAATATGTAAAAATATACAGGGTGTTCCATTTAAATTAACAAAGTTAACATCCGCGGCCATTTTGTTTGAACTTAATTTGTTTTTCTACTATCATTTTCGAAAACTCCATAAAAAATCGTGCAACTTTTGAATTTCACATTTTTTTTATAACTCTTAAAATAAAAAACTTAAAGGGGGGTCAAAATATAGTAAATCACCCTGTACATTGAAAAAAAAAAGAAACATCAAAGTAAACTAAAGCCTTAAAAACTTAAAATAAATAAATCATGAGCTGGTAGAGAAACCACTTTAACCGCTCAGTACTTTGTCGAAAAACGAATTGAACGCATGAACGAAACGAACTCCAGTCAAGAACTTAAGACGTGCGTGATTTTTAAATTTCTCGATTTCTCGACACTTTTCTCGTCTCGAGTAAGGCCAGATTTCCCGGGAATTCTCGCTTCGAGAAGTCTCGACCAGAAACTCTATTCTGGAGATTACTTAATATTCGAAAGGGCACGTGGTTTTTGCATGACTATGTTTCATCACATTTCCGACGCGATGTACACAATTTTTATAAGAAATATTTCCTGCAAGGCATCGTAAAGGGCTCCGTAACCACTCAAATTGAAGAGAATTAAATGATCTAAAAGAGCTTTATGGTGTAATGACCAAAAAAAAGTTTTGAAGTCCATAGCTCTTTTTAAAGGAAAGCAAAAATTTGCATTTTTTTTTCGTTGATTTTATTGATTACTCAAAAATTGGTGACGCTAAAAAATTTTAAACTCCAGATCCGAAACTTCTACCTTCAATTTTCTTTATTTTGATTCTCTCTATGACCATTTCCATCCAAGTTGCAGCTCTTTGAAAATCACCCAAAATTTTGGGATTTTTTTTAATATCCCTTAATTTCTGTGTATTAAAAACATTATTATTTTATGCACATTGAATGAGAGGAGAGTTTTAAAGTTATAATGTTCAAAATTGTACATATTTTCCATAGAATCGTACTCGACGTATCCAGGTTTCGGTTAGTAATTCTTCTTAATGGCCAATTATTTCTGATGCGAGATCTATTCTTTTACGTAACATTTCAACCACCTGAACTTTGTGTCCGATCCACCTTGCAGAAAATATTTCTTATGATTACTCAAAAACTGCTGAAGTTGAAAAATTTTAAACTCCAGATCCAAAAACTAGAAACTTCAAGCTTCAATGTTCTTTTTTTTATTCCCTCTACGACCATTTCCCTGCAAGTTACAGCTCTTCGAAAATGACCCAAAATTTTGTGATTTTTTTTTAATATCCCTTAATTTCTGTAACTAGTATTTAACCTTATTTTAAATAGAGAATGATATTCCAAGACAAAAAATTCAAAAATAGTTGTTCTCCAAAGTAATTACATTAAATTCCATTAAATTCAGGTGACACATTTTCTAAGGCGGTCTCGTTGAAGTTAATACGATAATTTGTCACCCAGTGAAAAATTAATTTCACGCACAAGAAATTGGAAGTTTCCTGGAACCGGCGGTGAACTTCTTGTTTGGGGATGGCTCAGGGCGACAACCGCAGGACCTCAGAGGGAGAATGAAAGGATTAGGGCGGGAACAGACTGCATTATGCGGCCTGGGGGAGGAACGGGAAACGTATTTAATGTCTTCCCAAACTTAGTTCACCGTTTTGAGGAAAAACCCAAAATCAATTCCCATTTAGTCTCGAAAAACTATTTAATTGAAAGAATATGGGCGATTACGTAAGATAATTCTATATAAAATATTATACAGGGTGTTAGAAGTTTGATTGCCTTAATTTTAACAGACGATAGAATAAATTAAAATAAACAAAAAAACCTTGGGTCCTAAACTCAATCATTTCCGAGAAAAAAATTATCAATATCTTCAACTTGATGTACAAAAGTTCAATTAATTAAGGAATATTGACATAACTCATAACTGCATGCATAGAATACCATAAAATAGAATGTTTATAACTTTTTTGAACTTTTTTATGCTTAATTCTAAAAAATAATTAGCATTGTAATAAATTTAAAATTCGATAAAATTCATATACTACTAAACTGTCCAGTAATACGCAATTCAGTTGGTATCTGGAACTGGACCGTGTTTGAGTGTTTTTTTGTGTACCACTATTTTCTTTTCTTGAGGTGTTTTCCAGCGAGTGCGCGAAAAGTGGATTCGAAGGTGTCGTGCGTGCATCGAAAATGATGATAGACATTTTGAGCATATGCTGTAGTTTGTACTTGTTCGTTTAAATATTACTGAATTTTGCTTTTTGACCTACCTAAATACCTACCTAAGTACCTAAATTATTTTTAATACGTTTTTTAATTCGTTTTATTAAATATTGTAAATTGCTAGACTAAATCGTTTCGTTTTGATCTCAGCAGTCTGTAGCCGAGCGGTGATAGCCCGTATAGAGCTGAAATAAAAATACCTCAAGAATTTAATAATAATAAGAACTCAAGCAGATTTTCCTTTTGAAGATCCCTAGCTTTTTCCAGGTCTTCATATCCCGACGCGCCTGGGCAATACCACACTGACATGCTGTACGCTGACTCGATTAAACTAATTGAGAAATTGGTTTTTTAATCAACTGTTTTTGCGCCGCTGACAACAAAGTTTGGCGATAACTGCGATGAAATTGAATTTTAATTCAATTAGTGTAATTACTTGGCGGTACAAAATTGAATTAAGTCAAAGCGCTGCGAACCGATAATAATATGTATGTATAAACCACACATGGGCGTTTCCAATTTCATCATCGATACGCATTATATTAATAAATGGATTGTTTCTATCGTTGAATATACGGGATAACAAAACGTGAAAGAAAAATCCGAGTTTGAAACAATACTTTGTAAAGCTCTGAAAAATAACTTTTTCGCCGGTCGATATTAAAGGCATCTTTTTAGTGACACCTGACACGCTGACAGGCACTAAAGTGTCACATTTTACTGCCTAAGCATTTTTGAATTATTTTTTACTGCTGCTAAATTAAATATTAAAATTTGTTCTTTAACGAAAGTAATTTTATTTATTGTAAACATGTATAGTGAAATTAGAACAGTCTGTAAAGGATATCCCCTGTCCTGCTTGTTTTGAGACTTTTACTTCGTCTATGTAGACTAAGTGTTTTCAGTAGTATAATATTATGAATTATTCAATCCTTCAAAATTTGAAAAAGGGCAAAAAATTACTTTTTACAATTTTTTTGAAAATTCATAGCTAACTTATAAATATTTATGAAGAGATTTAGAGAATTTTTTACAGTTCAATTTACCCAGAATAACCCTGTAAATTGACAAGTCGATGTATCAAACCGTTTTTCTGTTTCAAATGATGAGTTTTGGAACGAATTAATCATCAAAATGCAAAAGAAAAATATTTTTCTCGACCCACAATTTTGTATTAGATTGGTTTAAATTTAAGCAAAAAGAATCGAGAAAATTTTTTAAAAATTTTTTTAAAAAATTTGTTTTTTTTTCTTTTGGACAAGTTAGTTGGTGTACGGTCTTTGCATACCAAAATTATATTAATCTTTATTTAATCCCATTAATTGCAAATTTGCTATCCCAAACTGAATTTCGTCCTCGATTTAGGTAAAAAGTTTTTCCAATCTCACAATCAATTGAAGAACCAAGAGGTTAGTATGTACCAGGTTCGGTCGCTGACGCAGCAACTCGGCATTGAAATATTTGAAAAACTGGTTCCAATATTTATTTAGCCGTACCCGTATACAGGTCTGGTCGCCCAGTTGAAGAATGAACGCGTGGGCAAACGCGGCACAAACACAGCCGCACTGGGCCATCTGGCCATAAATTCAGTTATCAACAAATAGCGCAGCAGTGCAGTGCAGCTATGCGGAATTTGGTGTGATTCAGGTAATTTTAATTTATTATGGGCACCTTCTATTAATCATTCATATTACAAATGCGAAAGGGAGAAATAAGAGGGATATTTTGTTTACTGATATTATTACAACATGGCATTTTGGAGATCTTTTGGAACAAAACGAAATTTATCATCAGTATAATAAAATTGTTTGAGGACATAAATAATTAAAATACGTTGTTAGTCAAATGAACATATAATAGAAATTTTTTACCATTATATATAAATTATTATAATTTTTTACTTTTAGCAGAAAACTTTTTTAGTGACGTCTATGAAACTCATTAAATTTTATTGCTACTCGTTTTTATACATGTGCAACTGTCTTCGAAAAGACTATACACACATTTATAATATTGATTTTGTTTTTTCTGCGAAGTTTACTTACGTTTCAAAAAACCGTTTCTTTTAGAACTACTCTTTTTTGGCAAAAAAAATATCAAAAGTTTTTTCGAAACATTTTTTTCAGTATAAAAAAATTAAGGAAAAGTTCTGTCAATTTTTGTCTAAAGGTCTTAAAACTAGAGGTTTCTTTTTATTATTTCGATATGAAATGAAATGAAACTGCAGCCTTTCGAAAATTACTAAAAAATTCATGAACATTTTTCGTACCTCTAATTTTTTCCAGTAGTGTATTTCAGCACGTATAACATGAATTTATTTTTGGGAGAATTAAAAAAGGAACAAAATTTATATCGGGCGCAAATGCGGGAATAGTAATGCACTTTGCGTGCATCAAACGAAAACCTCCAACTGCCACTATGCCGTTGAGGCAACTTAATTTATTCCTTTTCCTATTCTGCATAACGGAACTGAAGAGATATAAAATTTTGTAAGGCAAAGACGGAGACTGTGGAACACAAATGGCCATATACATTTACGAGCCGCTGATCGTAAGAAAATCTTACTTAGCCTTTGACCGAGCAACCACTTTGAACAAATAAATGTAACTGCAAATTTTTACTTTGTAGAAATATCGTTTTATCCATACTCACGTTTTCGTGTTTAAACCTGGTAAGTATTTTGATTTCCCTGAGCGTTCTCTGACAGTAGGTTTGATGTTCGAATGGTGATATCTTCTTTATTGCCACTTTGGTCTTCGTCACCGTGTCCAGTGCTGAGCTGTAACAAAAACGCAAATTAGGCATGACCACTAATAGCCCGTCCCATTCCCAGATTGACTCCTCAGCTACGTAAGGTAAGTAGGAAGTTGTAATAACATAAGATCAAATACGTATTTATACAGGGCTGTACAGTTTTTCGGGTAGTAGAAAAAAAAGTATCAGTATGTTATTTTTCTTAACAGATTTTACTGGACATCCTATTTGCAAACTTTATTTCATGTTATATTAAGAACGTAATATATATACAGAGTGTTTTCAAAAGTAGTAGCATAAATGGTACCGGTGAATCTACAGTAAAAAACACATTTTTGTTTGGAAAAAAGTGAAGTACTGGAAAAATACGTATCAGATGTCCAGGAGCCTGTATTTTGCAAGTACCCTTCAATTTTTCAATATTCGCTTTTCATTATACATAATTAGAAAAGTGAAGATTAATTCTGTTCTATAAAACATTATGTTATGTGTTTTATGAATCTTCAACTTCTCAATTTTCACTTTGCATATGTACAAAAAAAAGCAAAAAAAAATCTCAATTTTTTTTTAGGTCATGGCCAGCTACGATTTCCATTTAAAAAAATATAACTTTGGGTCATAACTCTGGAATCTTAAGACCTACTAAAAATCTAATACCGGCATTCAATTCTACGCCAAAAAATTAGTCTTGAGCAGTTTTCTTTTTAACTCTACCTTATTTAACAGCTGAGATACAGACATATTAAAAAGTGTCACAATAACGAGAAACGCCCTGTAACTCAGAAATAAATGAAGATAGCAAATCTCTGATTTGACAATTGAGTTTGCCATGAAAATCGAGCTCGAGAACATGGTGTCAGTAGTTTCTGAAATATCCTGAAATCCCACCGAAAATGGACCGGCCTGTACAAATAAACTGTTTTTTGACCATTAATTTTGAAAACAGCAAAGTTGTAGAAATCTTTCAAATTTTTGAGTTTCTGTTTTTTGAAAAATAGTACCTCACGTCATTATCTTGTTTACTTTTCAACTCTGCACAATTTTGCAAAAAGTAGTGTCTATTTATATATTATTATGCAAAAGGTTAATTTAAATGATTTTTCATCAAGTATTAGAACAGCTAATAACTATCTTGTATTGAAAATAAAGCGCTGGAATAATTTTGGTTTAATTAATCATACACATATCAAATAAAACGGCGATAAGCAACTTACAAAAGGCAGAGTTCTGCAGAGAAAACATTTTAAGGGCATGAATGATTCTCTCTTAAAAACTAACTAAGATACTTGGTAAAAAAAAAGACAGATTTTAAGTCAACAAAGAGTGTTACTGTAATAATAAATAATAATAATAAACAGATGCTTGGAATGTTTTCATTTTTGAGATAGAGTATGTTAATAATTTCGGAAAAATATTTGATTTTTTAAATTAAAAAAAAACGGCAAAGGCAATTTCATTAAAATTTGGAATGTAGCTTTAATTAATATGTCTGGAAAACTCGAAAGAACTCTGTAAAGCAAAATAAAAACATTGTTACATACAGGGTGTTTTCTACTATAAGACACAATAAAATGATGACCCATTTAGACAATGCACCGTATTTATTTGGATATAGTCCTTTATAATTTCTATGAGTACCTATTATTTGATTTTGTCAAATTTGACATCCCGTAGTAAAAGAATATGCCAATCCGATGGCATCAATCGCATTGTTGCAAGACCGTTGCAGATATAATCCAAAAATGTGTCTTTAGTGACGTACCATGAGTATTATTACTTATTTGGATATATCCCTTTCTTACGATTAGAATAATATAACGTTTGATTCGATGGGTCTATTGTAAGAGAGATATATCAAAAAAGTGTGTCATAAGCGCATGTTAAAAGAAAACTATTATTAGTTTTTAGGCAACCAAGTCGGTTCTAATCATAATCTTTCTTCTTGAATTCGTTTAATATTTCATAAACCATTCAAAATATCTATTTTAACAATGTTAAATTTGTAATGTGCACTCTATTTGACTCGACTTGTAAAATTCATTTGAAAAACACTAAATACGTGGGCTCCTCGTAGCTCGCACCTAAATCTGTAAAGTGTTCACAGTGGTTGTAATGGTTACCATCGCGCAGCAGTGAAAGGCGGAGTGGGACATATTTACTATGTAGTTTGGGTTGTGTTTAGTACGCCAGCAAGCAAATAATAGGTATCGTGTTTTTTAAAAGATTTTAAAAGTTTAAATTATATTAGATTAGACCAGGGGTCGGCAAACCGCGGCTCGCGAGCCGCATTCGGCTCTTTCAAGAGACAATTGCGGCTCTTCAAGTTCTTCTAAAAATTAAAAGTTAAAGCGGACAGACAATTAGCACACGAGTACACATAAACACGCATATAAACTTCCGTATCCGATTTAAATTTGAAATAAAATGTAAAAGCAGAAATAAAAATTCGTGGCTCTTTGAAATTTATGAAATTGATATTTTTATTGCAGATGGCTCTTTCAGCTTAAAAGTTTGCCGACCCCTGGATTAGACTAACGGCACACTATGGGTCAAACGGCATTTTTTTATGTCAAAATCAAATATCTCGAAGAAGAATTAACGGATTAATTTAGGGAAAATTATTGCGAATGTCATCATCCCCTATATTGGGGGTGGAAATGAAGGGTGAATAGGTGAAAAAAGTGAAAATCGATTTTCTTCGTTCAAAAATCTTATATCTTCGATAAATACAGTGAAATTAAGACATATTATGGTGGAATCAATGCTTCATTGAAACAAGTTAAGGAAAAATTAACGAAAATATTTTCATCCCTATTTTAGTGGTGAGGGTGTGGAAAAATGAAAATTAAAGAAAATATGTATAAAAGGTTTTTGTTGTCGCTGAACACGAATAAAAGCATCACTAAAACAAAAAACTCCTTTTCAGGAGTTGTTTTTATCATCCCCTGATTTAGGAGAAGAACTGAGGGGTGGGGGATTGAATAATAAAATTCATCTGAAATATTACCAGTCTTTCAATTCTCTAATCCTAAATAACGTGGTAGACCATTTTCTTATAATCTGTAAATTTCAGGGTGATTTTTCGTTATCCCTTAGTTAAGGGATATGGCAATTAGGGGTTAGGGGTGGAATGTAAAAAGTCAAAGAAGGTATTCGTTGAGNTTTTCATTATCCCCTATTTTGGATAGGGGATGCATTTAAAATGCATCTAACTTATATTTCAGAATCATCCCCTATCTCAGAAGTGGCTTGTATTATCCTCTAGTTCAATGGAAAACATTGAAAAAAAGAAAAAAATTAAAAAAATTTTGATTAAGTTTATCGTCGATGAGCACGAAACCTATCAGCATTTTATTCATCATCCCCTATTTTAAGGGAGGAAATGAATTAAGCAAATATTTATTTTAAGATATTAATTTTTTAACCCTCAACCTTAATTTGCACCCTTAAGGAGGACGTGATGAAAAACCTCCAGAAAGTAAGAAAGGATTAAAAACAGTGATCATATTTATATTCATCGCCGTTTCCAATGACAGATTTTTTATTTTTGTCAAGTGATGAAAACCTCACCACCCCTTATTCCTATCCTTAAAGCATGAATTAATAAAAAGCTACACTTAAAGTTTGACGACGAAAAATTAAACTTTTACGTATCTAGGGACCATAAAAGCCCTCAACAAATACCTTCTTTGACTTTTTACATTCCACCCCTAACCCCAAATTGGCATTTACCTTAAGTAAGGGATAATGAAAAATCACCGTGAAAAGATGATAAGAAAATGGTCTACCATGTTATTTCAGATCAGAGAATTGAAAGACTAGTAATATTTCAGATGAATTTTATTATTCAATCCCCCCACCCCTCAGTTCTTCCCCTAAATCAGGGGGTGATAAAAACAGCTCCTGAAAAGGAGTTTTTTGTTTTAGTGATGCTTTTATTCGTGTTCAGCGACAACAAAAACCTGTTTTGAATATTTTCTTTAATTTTAATTTTTCCACACCCTCACCCCTAAAATAGGGATGACAATATTTTCATTAATTTTTCCATAACTTGTTTCAATTGAGCATTTATTCCACCATAATGTGTCTTAATTTCACTGTATTTATCGAAAATATAAGATTTTTGAACGAAGAAAATCGATTATCACATTTTTCACCTATTCACCCTTCATTTCCACCCCTAAAATATGAGATCATGACATTCGCAATAATTTCCCCTAAATCTGCATCAAATAAGCTTTAATTAAAAAAAAATATGTAAACGATTCGTTAATTCTTCGAGATATTTGATTTTGACATAAAAAATGCCGTTTGACCCATAGTGCGGCACTTGCAATGCTATCTATTGAAAAACCAAGGGTGCGAGAAATACCAAACTTTAATAAAAAAATTATTGAAAAGTTTATTTCGTACAAAAGCAAAAGAATGGACTTTCACTTTAAAAAATAATGTTGAGCAGGATTTCCTATATTTCAATAATACTTACAATAAAACTACTCAATTATATTTGATTTTTTTTTCCAATACTTTGTACTAAATTTTTCCGCTCTCCCTGGTATGGAAGTCAGGAGCCACCACTGGTCAAAAGTCACTCACTTGATAGTTAACAGAAACTCGAATTTGAGTAAAATTCTCTCACTTCTGTGGCAATAGTTTCACTCATAAAGTTTTAGTTGTAATCATACCAATAGAGTGAATATTTAACTCAATCGGGTGTGGACAGAAATTGATACATTATTGAGTAATTGAGTGAAATTGAGTGACTTTTTTACAGCGTAATGACATTTCTTATTTAATTAGATTTCTTAATTTAAATTTATTTGTTTCTGTCTGTTCTCAAGCTAAACAGATCACATTATCCCTCACCTAGAGACGTAGGTATCTAACAAAAATAACAATATGTATGTGAGACCTAGCCAAGTGTGTCGGTTAGCAGCAAACGAATGGTATGATGTCACAATATGGCTTCTGTGTGATTCCCCGGGACAGTTTTCATTAATTACCTTGAGGGAGAAATTGTTATTA